TCTGCTGTAGCTACTGCTCAGGAGATAAGAGACGCATTAAAAGTTTGTTTAAAAGTTTTTCTGAATAATAAGTTCTAAAAACATAAGATTTCCGCTTAAGAAAAATAGGCACATAACGAGGTGGAAGTTCTTACACATCCCCTTTTGTCTTTGTTCGTAGTATGTTACCGATTTGGATGTTTCATGGTTATTTAGTGCTGAAAAAATTAAACGTGTTTTGTTACCTAATGTTATTCAGGCATTATTTAGAGTTTTTCGGAAATTACATTCACAATTTTTTTTTCTTGATTGCACACGTTGCATAGTGTTTTCATAATTCTGTTTTAGTTATATGGTGCTACTTTGGTGGATAAAAAGATGGATTTAAGTAATGCTATACGTGTTTGGTTTGAAGCGGTTAATTATGGTGAACCACTGCGCGTGCGTACTGCTCTCCATGTTTATGACGATTTATTCGAAATAGACACAGCTGATGACGTACGTCGTGTAATTGGTAATCCTGATGCAATCAGAATGCAGGTATAGATTTAGAATGAAGCGAATTGCCTTCGCTTTTCCTTGTTTGTTTGACCAATAACTTCAGGCATTAATCATGCGAGAAAGAATCATCGGTGGAGATCACCACGAAACACATTATTTTATACGTTACCGTGGTGCTGTATACTGTGATTTGGGTGAAACAAATCGATGCTTCCAGTTGTGGTTGCATGCACTCGATCTTCAAGTTGGTAATTCCACCGCAACTTTCAAATTGATTTTAACTGCCTGAGATAATATTCAAGGCTATGATTTCCGACAGAATTGTAGTATTCTATGGATCATTGTTCACTAATAAATTTACCAATAAATGGCGATTAAGATTGTAAGGCTTCTTCTAATAGAGTTGTAATAGGTGACGTATTTTACTATTAATTGCTTGTTAGCTTTTCAAAAGGATTCTAATAATTCAATTTGAAAACTTATAACTGGAGGAAATGTGAATTTTTTTTTTTTTTGCAGAACCAAATATAAAAACATTAATTTAGCAAAAACATCTTTGCGCATTGCATCCTTCAACTGTTTCCACAATTGGAGCATTCATTGACACATTTATATTAACGGTGAACGAAGGAATCATAATTGCTAATGTAGATGGCGTGCGTGTTACTCCAGTTTCTCGTAAATACCTAATGGATGTACTAGATAAAACTGTTTTTGAGCTGGAGAGGTTATAATTTTGTGCATCATTATATTTTAAATATTTTTTTAATGTAATAATTTCCAGATTTGGTAGCTGACTAAGATGTTTTATGTTTTTAAAAACTATTAACAAATTTATAGAATTTTGGTCATCTTAGTTTAGGGTCAAGAGAGAGAGATGTTAGGCTGAGTTAAAATCTTAAATTGCCTCTGTATGAAATTAAATACAAAATCGCATTGGGAGCTGTGCTTTGTTTCTGCCCTTAGTAATTTGTTATAATTTTTTCCTTTTCATCTTGAATTTCTTATTTTTAGATTCAATAGTAGCGGTATGAAAATTAAGACAGATGAAATTTTCGAAGAACCAGGTGACAATATTCGGTGCTCTAATTTCTTGATGCTTGCATCCCTTCAGCTGATTCTTTTGGTCGGTATTTATTTTTTGTCATCTATCATCAAGTAGCGTGAATAGTGTCGACGTCAGTCACGGCTGATGAAGAGTAGTAAAGTTTGAAGTGTTAAACGTGGTACAGTTTGGGTACAAAATACAGAATGGGCTTTTATGCAATAAAGCAATCAAGCAAAAAATTCAAAATTTTTGAAAAGAACTTATAGTGGAAATGTAGCTTATAGAGTAATTTTTCAATTTTTTTCTCGAAGTTTTGTCTCGCAAGGTTTACATTCAGAACATCTATTGCAAGAAATGGTGAACATTTTTAGGAATCTCTTATTTTGTTGTAAAGGCATACAATGTATTTCAGATTCGACGTCTCTCTCATAATGACAGCAAACTAACAGTAAATTTAGAAACGGATACTGATGAAAAAGATTTTGATATTGCTTTATCAAATATCGTTACACGTTTAATACAAGTTTCGAAATGCCTGAATTTATATCCTCTTCATGCTGCTTGCCATGATATCGACAAGCCATTAACAACACGTTTCCCATGTGCATGTGTAATTACGATGCTTATCGACAATGGAATCGATGTAAACACGAAAAATTCGTTGGGTATGTTGAGTTATCCTGTCAGAAAAAAATTGCAATTTCTAGTTGTTTTAAAAGTCTGAAATATAATTAAGGCTGACCATTTATCAATTTCAAACCTGTGCTTTATTTGGACTTTTTGATTTCAAATATACGTATTTTAGGTAACACTCCATTGCATACAGTTTTATTGAGTAATAATCCGAGACAGAGTGTCATCAAACTATTGCTCCAAAACGGTGCAACACTCCTAGCTCGTAACAAAGAAAACGACACATGTTTGGAGTTAATCTCAGAGACGCTTCCTCGTGCATTTAGGCTTCTCAAATTGGGTTTGCTTTATTTATTTATATTTTGCAAATAGCTTAAGCGCTTTATTTATTTAATAAATGATGATATATGCTGCTGATGTTATTTTATTTCGACATATTATCATGCCTTTAAAATAAAATTTACAAAAATCGTTTCGTTTTGCATTCATATTAATAACCAGCAGACTAGAGATTATTATCAAATAAATTATATGACTTTTTCAAATTCGACGACCAGCTTTGACCCATGTTCTGGTAGTCCTGAAATAATGTTTTTGGAAGAGTTGTTTATCTTTCAAAAATTTCCGAAGACTTCATCTTTCAGCTTAACTAAATGCGAAGTTAAATTATTCTAGCTTGTACGGAACTTCAAAGCTTTGCTATTTTCCAGGTCGATACCTTACACTTATGGGTCTTGCCGCGAATGCTGTGCGACGAAACTGGCTGAAGACCGTTTACAAAAAAATTGTGCCGAAAGAACTGTTTGCATTTTTGGATTTGTATTAAATTTAATTGACGTGAAACTATTGCGGGTGTTGATTTTGTGAAAAAACAATGTATATATAGCATTTCGTGACTTCTTGTACATTGATTTCATATGTCGAAAATGTAACGTAAAAGCATAAATCCTTTTCTTGTCAAATGATTTTGTGTTTTTTAATCTAATTCTAGAGAACTGGAAAGTGCGTTAGTATTTTATGTTATAAATAAGTGTATTAATTATTAATTTGGAGAACATTTGTATGCTGATAGATATATACATTTTATATTCTATTTAGAATAGAGTTCTTTCGAGTTTCAGAATTTTCTTGTTTTAGTTATGAGCAGAATGCGGAAGGTATATATAGCATTTTAGAAAGGAAGAATGGAGAGGCAGAAGAAATTGGCATTCTCATGATTTAAATGTTTTGCAGGTTAAACGACATTTTTCTTCAATCATACTGAATGGAGTTTTTCGGCACTTTCATGTTGTCTTGTAATAAGTCAATTAATTTATCTTCTGTTTTTCTGACAGTATTGTTTCACTCTAAGTCCTCTTTTATTTTCAACTGCTCAACAGTTCAAAGTCAGATCAGATTACACAAATATCATTTGCTACAGTTATTAAAATAGGAATCGCCTAGTTTTAGATTTGTATTCTACTTTACTGTTTGGTAAGCATTCGAAGTGTGACTTTAATATGTTGTGGAAAAAAGATATGACAAATGGTTCCTTACTCATTAAAAAAAATTTTCGCATTGTACCATTCATAATATTATGTTAACAGAGATAACTTATTTGTTCTGTTAGTTATAGGTTTATTTGAATATTTTTCAAAGTTTTGTAAAAAAATTTGTAAATGAAGATAATAACCAATGTCTCAAGATGTTTTAGATGATGAAACATCTTGAGACATCAGTGATTATCTTCATAGGTTCTTTTTTTTTTTGAGATTTCGGATATTGATTTTCTTTACTTCACAACTCTCTCAGATTGTAGAAGTTAATATCTTCGAGTAATGGATGCCGGGAAAGTTCTTAGTAGAAGTTTTAGCTCGTCATATAGTGAGCTTAGAACAAAGTGTTAGATTGCAGTGAGTAAAGAAGCTGTCACTCACAGATGACTTTTACTCATAATATAGTGGGAATTGGTTGATAACATTGCGTCAGATTGGAAGACCTCTGCGATATTTCCAATCACAAGGAGATTTGAATTACAACAAAGTTCATCGAACAAATGATTGTCAGTTTGGAAGATGATAACAGTAAAATTGGGAGTAATTTACAACACATTAAGCAATGCAAATATTTGTTGTTTGCAGATTATAACAAGCTTAGCTACAGCTGGAAGATGAATTCCGGAGAAATGCTTTCCCATTTTTTTTTTTTTTAAAAAAAAGGAATTGAAACAATTTAATATTTTATATTTAAGGAATAAATTTATGTTCAAATTAGACAGTCTTTAGTTACAAACTTCTGTCTTATGGATTTAATATAGAAATAAGTCTGTCTCAGTTTTTCCGATAATGAGTGGTTGGGCTCCTGATTAGAGTAGATATTTCTAGGCAGATGTAATTTTGTCGTGAAGCTTGCTTTCTTTTTCTGATTGCCGAATATGAGATGTTTATGAAAAGAATAGGATGTTAAATTCATAATGGGGCAATTCCCAGAATGTTTTCTGCAGTTTGCCTTTACAAATGGATTGAAGAATTCTATGATAGCTTAGATCTAATTCTAATTCTACAATTTGATTTTAATTTGATCCCCCAGATAGACATCTAAAAGCCATAAAAATTATGGTAGACCTAGATGTGTCTTTCTCTTCATACTTCAAATTTTACAATCAAACATGTGGAAAGTGATAATCATAATGATGGATGGAAGGCCGTTTACTTTACTTGCTTTTTTAAAAAAAAAATATCAATGAAATTTATATGTAAGATCATAATGATGAGGATTATGTAAATTTAAATATTGATTTTCTCCTGTTTTTGCGATAATTCCTGGAAAAATGATCATATATGTTTGGTTAAAATGCAGCTTATTTGCTTGTTGACGTGGATGCCCCTTGTGCGATTGATGATAATCGAAGCATCTGAAGTTGACGAATTACAGTTGTCGCATTGAATGCTTTCTTCCAGTTTCGTTTAGCTAAACTTATCTTCAAATGTGATGCCACCAAGCAATGAATATCTTTTGTACCAGCTGTATCACCACTGATCCTATATTTCAATATATATATGTATATATATATATATATAAACTTAATTTAAAAACCTAATGAAAAGGAATTTACTCTTTTTTATGTCACATATATTCAGTGAAGAGAGGAAAAAAAAACAGAAAATCGTTTAACCGGGAATAAAATATGCAACTAAAAACTTTTTAACTTTTTACAATGCAACATAAGATAAGTTAGATTATCATTCTAGAAGCATATCCTTGTTGTAAAATGCTGAAATAAATAAATTTAAATATAATGTGGAGGCACGATGATAATTACATGATAATAAAAGTTACCACGGATGTGATAATGCTTGATGAGAGGTATATCGTTGTTCTGGGTCGCAGCACATTAAATGAGATATAAAATCTTTCGCTGACTCAGAAATTTCATCCCAATACGGTGAATCAAATTCATATTCACCTCGAATTATTTGAGCAAATAAATTTGCATCATTTTCATCATAAAATGGTGGATAACCGCATAAAAGAATATATGTTATAACACCGATAGACCAAATATCAACAGCTTTACCATATGGTTTCTGTTGCAATACCTATTATTTATTTGAATTAAAATTAATTGTTTGCTAAATTAATTCATTTTACTAATTAAAAGTAACTTTTTTTTAGACAAACAATTATCAAATTTAATCTGATATATTACCCAAAAAAAAGTATTTTTTTTAATATTTTTTTATTAATTTTATTAATGCAAAAACATTCTTCTTTCTTTTATCTCTAGTGATAGATCAATCATATCATTTACTATCACACACTTTATTTAAGAGGAAAAAAGTAACACGTAAATATGAGTATAAAATTCATTCTTCCTAAGGCTCTAAAGAAATAACTTGTATTACAACTTCTGATTAGTTTATCATAGTTTCTTATTTGACCAATATGAATGAAAACTGGTCTTCTGAAATTATTGAAACAATCATTGATGACAGGCTACTTGCGTTGCTATTTTGCGCCTGTCAATCATTCTAATTTATGGGTGCAAGGCAAAACAGATCCTATTTTAACTGTGAAAAATTATTTGATTTTTGAAAAATTTTCGTATATTGTTATTTTATTATCAGATTATTTGCATTCTTATTTCTATGCGCTTTTCATGAATTGCAAAATGCTTCCAAATTTTCAATTATTCCGACCTGAATTACCAAAATTATCCAAGAAATATGTACAGAAAGCATACGCTCTATATATGAAGTTAACCATTAAATCATTCAATTCCACTTTCTACTTATTATCATTTTCAATGATTTTAGCAATAGATAACAATTCATATAATAATATTCGCTTAACTTATTGGAAAATTTTCGTGTTATTTATACAGTACTTCGGATTAAAATTTATGATAATTTTTTCAATAAGTTTTAGTAAAAATTTTTTTGCACTTAAAAATTTTTTAAGTCATTTTAAACTTGAAACCAATCATCAGAATAATTCACTGCAATTTTTCATTTCTTTCATCACTTAAAAAATAACATTAATAATTTGTAAATAAATTCACATTTTGAAAATGTAGGAGAAAATTTAATTTTAAATATTTTCGATAAATGAAATAATTAAAACAAACTTCGGGTGCAACATAACCTGGTGTACCACATGCTGTAGCCATAACACCCGATTCTTCAATTTTCGAAAGACCAAAATCAGAAATCATTATCTTAGAATTCTCCGTTTGATCATAATATAATAAATTTTCCGGTTTCAAATCTCTAAAAATTAAAGATTTCACAAATAACATATCAACATGAAATGTCTCTTATGCTCTAATACCTCGCTTTCTATTATTAATGTTTTATGTTTCACTTTGCAATTGAAACTTGATTTTTACAAACAATTCATATTACTGCAAAAATTTTTTCAAATTATTTTCCTTGCTATTTCAAAGTTTAATGTCGTTGCAAACAAAAATGACCTTTAATGTATAATTCGTTTTCTCAATCAGTGATATTTCCGAAAAAAAAGAACTGATTACAGGAACAGCTGATAATTGAATTTCATCAATAAAAAAAATATGAAATAAAAAATTTGTTATTTTCGTATTTGAATGAAACCTTTCATTTTTTTTTTTTTTAGCTAACTAAATTTTATGTTTTGCTACCTTTTCACTTCTTTCTATTAAGTACTAATTATTTCATTTATAATCTTTTTTCTCGAAAAAAGAAAAGAAGATGAAGAAAACATTTGTACTTAATTTTCTTTAAAAAAATGATATTACCTATGAACAACTCCATTTTCATGCATGAATGCAGCTGCTTCAAGTACTTGACGCATTAATACTGAAGCATCGCGTTCCGTAAATGAACCCTGTAAAAAAAAAGGTTATCAAAAACACTTTTTTCAATTTATATTTTTAAAACATTATTTTTGATTTATATTTTAAAACATTAATAAATCAAAATTAATATTTTGATTTATTTCATTTGATCACAAATCCAACATATGAAACTAATTGTATGAAATATTAAGTATTTGTTTTAATTAACACACAAAGATTATTAGCAATCATTTCGTATGGTAGTAAATAGCAAGTTTTTTTTTAAAAAAAAATTGTGAAGCATTTGAAAAAATGATTATCATGCAGATTAGCTTATTCTAGAAATGTTTTCGTAGCACTAAAAAAAAGTATTTGTTAGGTTTATTTTGCTAAATGATTATGTTTCAAATAATAGATGCTGAGTGTTTCTTCTTTTTCCAATCTAAATAGGAATTTTTCAAAATAAAATGTTAATTTAAAAAAATATTTAAATTTTTGTTTAAATATGAAGGCGCCAAAAAAAATGCGCTAAAAGTAGAGTAATTTTAAAATGAAATCACACAAGAATATGAACATTTATGTAAATAATACTTTTGCAACAATTCGATCAAAAAGTTCACCACCAGTGACAAGTTCCATAACAAGATAAAGATATTGTTTTTCATCAAAGGTATCATATAATTGCACTATATTTGTATGTCGTAATCTATAATCAACTAAATGTGAAAAAAATTTTTGAAATTTTTAAAATTCAAAAGAAAAATTAAAAAAAAAAAACGAAAAAAAATATTTACTATCAAACTAAATAATTATTTACATAATTATTTAGTTTGATAATTATTTACATAATTATAATTATCAAACTACTATCTTTTACTATAATTCTTCATTAAAACTAAAACATTCTTCTCCTTTCATTTCAAAACTTATTGAATGTATTAAACTGATTGGACATTTAGCATGAAGCATTTGCTGCTGAAAGCAATGCCTAATTGTATTATATTTTTTTCACTTTTTTTGTAGAAGAATGATAATGCTAATGCTAATATTTTTTTTTTCCAATATTTTTTTGAATATAAAAAAGTTTTGCATTTATTTAAATGAACGACTTTTTCTCTTTCTTTTTTATCCTTCAAAATAAAACGAACTGTTAGTGAAAACAAAGTGATAAAGCGATAATGTTAAATGACATGGAGTGCAAATGATGAAATGATAATGCTATATCAATAATAAAGTAATTGTTTAGACAAACAAAAAAGAGAGAGAGAAAAAAAAAAACGAAGATGCATTGTTTCAATAAAATATCATTGATTAAATAATAAAAGATAGTAAGTGCAACTTACTTGCGTAAAACTTTAATTTCATTTTCTAACGATTCCTCTTTACCTTTCAATGCTTTCTTATCAATACATTTAATTGCAACCAGAAAGCCAGGCTCTGATATTTGTTCAGCCAAGAAAACCTAAATGTTTTTTTATTTTTTTCGACATTATAAATTTGGATGTGAAATAAGAGTTATAAAATTCATTCAGATTGCATTGATAAATTATAATATAAACCAACTTATTTAATTAGGATATTTATTTAACTGAAAAATTTTTTAAAGCCAATTAAATTGAATGAATTGAATTTGCTCCACTTCTATCAAATATATCTTTTCAAGCAAATTAAACCAAAATTATTTGTCAATATATGTTGAAAATTTTTACTACTTATGTTTTTTCATTTTTTTTTCTTTGAACTGATTTCTTATCTTATCGTCTTATGCAATAAGAAAAGTGATTAAATATTACTGATATAATTAAACATAAAATTAATTTGCAACTTTTTTCTTTTTTTTTTCTTGATATTTCAAATTTTGCTTTTCGCTTCATTTATACAATGCAGTATCATTATGATGAAGTTTACATTTGTTAGTTACAAGAAATGATTTGATTTAATAAATTGTATAATTAAATAGAATAGAATTCGTCATTAACAGAGACGTCATCGTTCAGCAAATAAATGATATTTAGGCTAAATGAATCTTTTTTCAATTGTGTCATATGAAAGCTTCACATTTTGAAATAATTAAAAAGTATTCACTGATTATTCCATGTTTCATATTCATTATACATTTGTACACTAGCAAATCTATCTACTGAGAATTCACTTCCATAAATTGATATTTCTCACTTAATTAGAAAATAATATCGTCATTCAATATTTTCATATCAAATATAGAAAAAGAAAATAGATAAAATAAAGTATTTAAAATTTCAAAATTTAAAAAATGGTGTATTAAATCTTGTTGAAATATTGCTTTCAAATTTTATTCATAAATTGTTCTATCCGTCATGTCATTTTAATCCATCAAAATCTATCTTATATGACTAAAGCAGTTAATGTTAAACTTTTGTTATTCATGAGAATGGAAAATTTTTCAAATCTAAGCAAATTGTTGCTTCATTTAATAAGCGAAAAAAATTGGATTAATTTTTTAATTTTTCTTCAAAAAACAAAGAGGAAAAAAAAATTTTTCATTACTTTGTATTATATACAAAAAGAAAAGATGAAAAATTGGGAGGAAAAAAAATATGAGATGTGACAGGTATGTATATTTTTAATTGCACTCATTTAAAATCACAAAATGTGTAATAATTTAAATTTGCAAGACATGTCTTGTATATAAGAACCAAAAAATGGCAGGTAAAGAGGAAAAAAAGAAAGAATGAAAGGAATGAAGGAAGAAAAATTGTAATAATTTCATAAATTTAAAATTTAAAAAAAAAAAAAGAAAAGACAATGATTAATAGTAGATAATACATTATTGATATATAACAAGAAGAACTGAACGATTGAAAATGGGAACAGATGAAGAAGATTGTGATAAATGATTCGTGGAAAGTAAAAGGTATACGTAGAATTTGTAAAAGTTTTTCAATTTATTGTTTCTCTCTCTTTCTTTGTCCCCTTTTCTTTCCTCCTCTCATCTTGTCTTTATTCTTTTTTGTTTTTCTGTTTTTTTTTTTTTTTCTTGAACCTTTAAAATCAGATTTTTGCATAATCTTATTAATGCTATCGTTACTCCAGATTACACAGTCAGATTTCCTTAAAAATAACTTAAGTACACATGCGAAGGTGGAAATCAGATTACCTAAAGAAGAAAAGAGAGAGCAGCAAAAAAAATGAATTATCATAGAAGAACACACCTTGGAGAAAGCACCGGTACCCAAGATATCCTTGAATTCGTAATAATCACGAATAGTGAGCTGTTCTTCCGATCCCTTTTTATCTTTCCGAAAGAGCGGCATCGACTTATTGTTTTATTGTTTAGTACTATTTAGCATGTTAATTAAATTCAAGCTAAATTTCTGTTTATTTTTTAACATTTATCACATAAATCATTAATAATACCAATAATAGCTGAAATAAATATCATTCGCTATTTTTTTAAAATTTATTGACAAAAAAAAAATGAATTGTTATCAATTAAATTAAAAAAAAAGACAAAAATAATAAACAAATGGCTGATATAATTAAAACTAACAGAGAGATAGTGAAGAGCAGAAATGATCTAATGATTGAATCCAATATTGAAAGATTGAAATGAATGCGTAGCAGGTGGAAATGTCGAAGGAGAATGCTTATACATTATCTGACCATATTAAGTTGCAGTGACAACATCATGCTGCCAGCTAGTTAGTTAGCTTACACTACTCTATCTAATCTAAGCTATACTCATATTCCTGTTTATAACATTGCACTTCTTTTTTTTTCGTTTCTCTTCCCTTTTCATCTTACTGCCATTTATTGAAATATTCTTGCGTACACACATACACACATGCACAAAGATTGAGAAAAAGTTCTGATGGAAGGAATGAATTATTTATTTATTATTGCTGCATCAACTCCACGCTAACAGCGGTAATAATTAATAGTAGCAATAGTAGTATTTTGTTGTTGTTGTTGCAATAGTAGTATTTGTTATTGCCGTATTAATGTTTTGTTGATATAGTGATAACACTTGAATACATAATAGTAGTAATGATGATACAACATAGTTGTGATAATATTTATGATAATAGAAATAATAAAAAGAAAGGAAAAAAGCAATAACAAGGTAGCGACAACAATTAGTAAAAATAATAGTGATAGTGATAGTAGTAGTAATGATAGTAAAAAAATTTGCGATAGCAATTTTATTGTATAATTTAGCAAAAAATTTGCTAATAAATTTGTTATCAATTGCTAAATAATTCAATTTTGATAGCTATAACTTCTTTGTGAAATTTTATATTTTTTTTTTTTTCATCCCTCGTTATCTTCTCAATATTTCGATACTTGTTTCGTAAATGTTGCAATATTATTAATCCATCTTTTCCTCGAATTTTAAATATTAATATGTTGTTACCCCTTATTGGATTAGTTGGTTATTGAGAATGTAGGAATAGTGTTATTTGATGGTAATTATCGTAGATATAGTAGTGACCATCGGAACCGGTTCATAAACGCTACAATGATCCTTCTTTTCTCAATGATTCTGTCAAATAATTTGGACATTCTTATCGTCCACTCAATACCGGATGCAATTTCATATAATTCACAGGACGATGTGAATGATAAAGTATGATGGGTTGCAAAAATAAAAAAAAAACGAAAGAAAAATGTGGTACATATAAAATAAATGAGGACTGAGTGATGATTGATTGAATGAACACAATTTTACATTGATTAACTTGCTTTATTAAAATCACTTCTTAACTAATGAGCACCCAAAGAATGTATTTTAATCGAGTTCACAGAACACAGGGAGAAATGAAAAAAAGGATTATCTTCGTGTTCCATCTTCGAAGAATATACCTCCGTCCAATGCACAATATTTCGGACAAATACCTCGTTCACCCTGTGGACCTGGTTGACCGGGTGCACCAATTTCACCATTAGCACCAGGATTTCCAGGTGGTCCCGGTGGTCCTGGTGGCCCATTTGGTCCAGGACTTCCTGGTTGTCCATCACGGCCTGGATTTCCATCTGGTCCAGGTAAGCCTGGCGGTCCTAAAATTCTTAATTATTTTACTGCAAAAAAAATGCATTTCTGATTTTAGCTTTTCTTTGCAGCAACAGGGATAAAATGTACTAAAATTTGCAAATGGTTAAAGCATGCCTGGTTCACCCGGTTGACCCGGATCGCCTGGAAGTACAGGTGTACTTGATGCTGGCCTTCCTGGTTCACCTCTTTCGCCGTCAGCTCCTGGCTGACCTGGTGCTCCTGGTGGTCCCACGGGTCCTGGTGGACCAGCATTGCCTAAACAGATCATTTTTTACTATTGAATTTGATCAAAAATTGTATTCCAGTTGCCCATATCATTACACAATATACATTTTGCCGTAGAAAAAAATACAGTAGCGTAAACAGATCTGTTTCAATTGAAAAAAAAAAAAATTTTGTTTACTCCATGTTAAAAAAAAAGGAAAAACAATTGAAAAAAAAAGCCAAAGCCACACCACTATTTCCTGGTCTGCCAGGTGGTCCGGCTCTTCCGGGATTTCCAGGAATACCACTAGGTCCTGGCGGTCCTGATGGTCCTGGTGGGCAGGGATTGCATGGCGGAATATCAACCTCTTCGCAAACTATCGGTGGCCGCCCAGGTGCACCTAAAAAAGTTGTTGGAAATTGCAGAAAATTTTACAGAAACGATTTAGATAAATAAGAAAAATAATGTAAAGAAATAGAAATAAAATAGCAATTACATATCAAAAAAAAAATATTATACCAGGCCGTCCTGGTGCTCCTGGTGTGCCTGGTTTTCCATTTGCTCCTGGTGGTCCTGGCCTTCCGGGATGTCCAGGTTTACAACAACCTAATTTTAATGAATTAGTATATTTGGTGCATTAATTCAATTAAGTCAAAGTAATGTAATAATTTGAATTGCATAAAAATCTTGAAGCTAACAATTTCTTGGAAATAAATAGAATTGTAAAGTAGATTAACGACCAGCACAGAAAACTTACTATCACAGGCTCCAATTTGCCTTTTTGTTCTGTTGGTTGCAGCAGCTGCAAAGGTTATCGGTTGTTTCTTGGCTACTTCAGACATAATATCTCTTGCTGAGGACTACAAAATTAAAAATTATATTCAAAACGAATAAAAAAAAAAGAGAAAAGATGCAGTTTTCACAAATCAAAATGCCAAAAAATGCTATTTTAAAATAAAAATTGACCAAAAAATTATTATTAACTGATAGATGACAAAAATCAGAAGAAATTCACTCGAAAAAAATATGAATACTAGAAATGAGAATTTTTTCTAAGAATGAAAAGAAAAAAGTATTATATTTAATTATTTAAAAAAAAAAAATATTAAATATCTGAAAATAGAAAGAAAAATTTTTCTCAGTAAGTTAAATCAATGTTAAAATAGACAAATATACGCATAATTTCAACATTTCTTTTAAAGATAGCAATTATTTTGATTATTTTGCTATCGATAAATATGAAATAATGGAAATTGAAAACTGATATTTTAAATTTGGTCGTTTCTTTTTATCATCCGTTAAAAAAAAAGAGCAAAAGGAAATTTATGGTATTTGAAAAAAATGAAATTTGTAATGTAGTGGAATAAAAAAAAGAAAGAAGCAGATATCAATGCAAAGAAAAAAAGAATGCGAAGAATTTTAATCGATATGTCAGATTTGATGAACTATTTGTAATTTGTTAAAAAAATTGTATTAACGAAATCGTTTTGCCTAATTAATATGGTCAATTAATATTTGAATTATAAATTTAAAAAAAAATTTTAATCCACAAATAGAACATCTCCAATGAAATTACATATGAATAAATGCAATAAATGTTATCACCTATTAAAAAAAAATCATTTATAAAATTATCATAATTTAATTAAGTAGTAATAAAATGAACAAATAATAGCATAAATGTTATAAAATGATTAAAACTAATGATAGCATCAATCATACTTTGCAAAATTGAAGATCCTTCCGTGTCTGTTGTTGTATATGATCAACAAAACTATAGACGATTGGCATAGTGATACACACTGATAAGATTGATATCAGAGAGAATGTTACAGCTGCATAGGCAACTGCCTTGTATGCGCGTTCTCTTTGCTCCTCCATTTTTCATCCATCCGCAATGACAACCTGAGTCTCCTTTTATACCGTCCAGGAACACTGGTTCTCGGTCGCCGTCGTGGAACGCATATACACGCAAAAAATTGTTGTGCACCTCTCTCGTCATCCTTCAGTCCTCCTCCATCCCTCCTCCTTTTGTTTATTTTCATCAACCGTATCCCTTGTTGATACCTCATTTCAAATCTCTCTCTCTCTCTCTCACTCATAATCCTCCTATATGATCTGATTTAATATCACTTAATCTAATCTAATCTAATCTTAAAAAAAAAGTCTGAAATATTATTACTCTTTAAATTCCTTTTTTTTTCCAATAACACATATTCATTTATAATCCTTTTGCTACTTACTTATTAATAATTATTTATTACTTCATTATTTTCATTTTAATATATTTACAAGAGATTATTGTTGCTGAAAAGATATATATATATATATACATACACATATGAACTTTGAATGTCATTTGTATTGCAGATATGAGGGTTTCATTTCTGATATTTCATCTCAATTGAATTTTCTTGATAATAGTTTAAGTTACTTTATTGTCTTCTCAATTAAAAGTACATATATATATATATATGTATTGAAGCTTGTTACCTATTTTCCTTTTTTATACTTGCTGTTTCTTTTTTTTTCTTTCTTTAAACAACTTTTACTTTGTTGAAGAATTAGTTTTATACGTTTTAAATAGAAAATAGAGAATATAAATAGAAAATAAATAGAGTTGTAGTAAACATTGTTACTATTTTCTTACATTTTCAATAAAATATAAGAAAAAAATCTTGGCTTTTCTTCGTTTTTTTTTCTTTTTTTGAAATATTCTTGAACTATGTGCCATTTCTTAATGATTTTAAAATTATCAAAATTTGTTACTGTGCAGTTTACTTACCCAATAGCCTTCTTTTATTGTTATCTTCGTTCCCTCTAAAATCTGATTCTTAATGATCTCTATGACTAAGCATTTTAGGTATTTTGTAATAACTTGAAAAAAAAAAGGGAGGGAGGAAAAAATTTTTACCGCTTCCATCAAGTATTAGTTGTACTCGATATCATTGCATGAATATCTTTATCACTTTATCAATTCTTTTCACTAAATGCGTAATATATTCCATGATTATAAAAGTTCAATAATTTTTAAAGAAATCCTTCTTCTATTCGGA